CAACCTCCAACTCCTGGGCTCAAGCGAGTCTCCTGCCTCTGCCTCCCAAGTAGCTGGGACCACAGGCGCCCGCCACAATGCCTGGCTATTTTTTTTTGGTTGCAGCTGTCATTGTTGTTTGGTGGCCCGGGCTGGATTCGAACCTGCCAACTCAGGTGTATGTGGCTGGCGCCTTAGCCGCTTGAGCCACAGGCGCCGAGCCTGTGTGTTTGTTTTTAAGAAAGCAATACGTGTGCTTGCTTCAGCAGCACAGATACTAAAATTGGAACAATACAGAGAAGGTTAGCATTGCCCCTCACAAGGATGACACGCAAATTCGTGAAGTGTTCCATATTAAAAAAAAAAAGAAAGCAAGAAAGAAATATGTTCCTCACTATAATTAATGTACTTTAAATAAGAATAGTCTTTTATTCAATAAGGAAAAACAAAAGCTATAAGTTGTTCTCTGGTACTTCCTATCTGGAAAAAAACTGATATGAACACGTCATGTGCATTTTCTAGAACTTGAGGGTAATTATTAGTCTTTTGTTGTTTTTAACTTTTCACTTCTTAAAGGCTATCTTACAATGAGTAAACTTTATCAATGGTTTCTGAGATATTTTCTGCTAAGAGACTGCTTATATTTCTTGAAGGGAACAAGTAACATATCTGGAATGCAAATATGTCCATTTCAGCTCTTAGCAGACATAACTAAACAAGTCACTCAGATATATGTCTGCTGTGTGTTGCGAATTGTTAGAAAATCTTCAAAAGTATCACCCAGAGGCTCACCACATCCTGCTTCTTCTGAAGCATCTCCAAGTGCTCCACAAGACCTTCATCAGCCACATCAAATGGTGTCTGGCCCTGGCAGAGAAAAGGAGCACCATGACTGCTAGAAAACAGAAGTAGCAGTCAGGTGACTTTATCAGGGCCCTGACCTAATCGACATTCACTTTTTGCCTTTGATTCCAATAATAGCTGCTTCCCTAACTAATCTACCCCACATAAGATAATGCCTTCATCTATCACAGAGAAACCATTAACAAACCCTTGAAAGTTTTGTATTTTGTAAAACAGTATTGAGGAAATCATACCATTTCTAATCCTGACTGCCTCCTGGCAAATAATCAAGTGAAATCCCTACCTGTACCTATTCGAAAATGGTCTTAACTATTATGATAAATTCAATAAGGGGCTCTTAAAAACCTCAGAGGAAAGTCTGATTAAGTCACAGGAATCATCTCCCTTTAAGTGAGAAGAGGCCTGACAAGGAAGTTATCTCTCTTAGGAAACATCAGCACAATTAAGGAAACAGACCCATAATCTGAGAATGAAATCCAGGTTCAAGAGAGATGTGAGGCAGATTAAAAAATGCTACTAATTAAAAAGCTATGTCTCTGGATTCCTAAAAAGTCAGTAGACATAGGAATAGGAGTTTCAGAACTTCTAATTGTTTGAAGTGAGGCCAAATAACACTATTTTCAGCCAAACTCAATGATCTTTGTCATTATAATATTTTTCAATAACTCGATGTGAACAGAGCTCAGCTGTTAAGAGACTTTGCATGAAAAAATACTAAACTCTTTCATACCTCACCACATATAGTTACCTTAGGCTCCCTCAGTGCTCATTTTTTGCCAAGGGCAAGTATATTTTTTTCCTGCTTATTTTAGGGTCTTCAACATAAATAGAATCAAAGACTAAGTCAGTGGAGTTTATTTTACATGGCAAACATGTGTTGATTATAGGGGCAGAAACAGGAAGGTGGAGGGCAATATTGTAGCTACCAGTGATATGTATTTCCCCATAGTAGTCAGCCTTGCCATTAAACAGAGACACAAAGTCTTTCATTTTAGACTTTATAGAGGTTCGGGCTCACTAACCAGTTTGTTTCGGATATCCATGTCACAGAGCGCTTCTGCCAGGATGGAACAAGCCTCTTTCACTCCCCAGTGAGCAGCAGCATGGAGGGGAGTCCAGCCATCATAATCCTGAACATTGAGTTCATAGCCAGCCTGAATTAAAAGTCTAAGAAAAAAAATCCCAAACATGACATTTATCTTCTTTATGTCACAGTTTTTTGGCAAATCAACTATTACCTAATTGATATGTCAGATTTTTGCCCTGAACCACAGGGTCATGTGATTGTGTCTATCCTCTAAGGAACAGGTTGGGTTTCATAGGTAGTACTTTGAACACCAACTGTAGATGATCTTTACCAACCTTCTCCAAAAAGTCACATGTATTTCTTAGGCACATCCATGTTATACCTACAAAGGGTATGAAAAGCTGTGTTTCTGCAATTAACCAAAATCTAATTCAATTAACCAAATCATTCATCTCTGTCAAAGGTATATTTTCCATATTCTAGTACAGGGGAAGTCATAAAATTAGGACTCGATTCTCTTCAGGGTACTTCACCAATTGGCTTTCTGGTCTTGCTAGAATACGATATGTTTACTGTTAACTTTCATACCTCCAATTTCTTGCTAACTACAAAGCTATAATCTAACTTGTGTGCATGGAAAAGAAAAGATATGATAACTCCTAAAGCCCCAAATTATGTTGGGGCAGACACCTTTAAGGAGAGATCAGAGTGTGGATGTCACTCTCAGGTAGAAATAGAGTACCAAAACATTGCCATTCCTACTAGAAACCCCATATTAGGTGCAATATGAAGCACTGGAAGGATCTAGTTTAGTGTAGACAACTGTACTTGCAGCGCCTTCAGAAACACATGTATTTGGAAAAGCTTGTCAACATTAAGCACCAAGAGCTACAGATAGCATGTATGGATGCAGGAAAAAATAGAAAAGGTAAAGTAGTAGAATTCGAATTTCTCCTAGGCCTGCTGGACACTGAATACTCAAAATCTATAATATATAATTAAATCTAATGATCCCAAAGAAATTATCTAGGTCCAAAAGGACCAAATGATCACAAGTCTGTCCTATATTACAGTTTACAAGAGGAGATGGTTGCAGGGATTTTAATGACATATTATAGAACTGAAAGAGGGCTTGAAAGTAAACTCCTCAACCAGTATACCTCAACTCTGCTTCACATCATACACATCAGTGAGAAATGAGAGGGATGGTATAAGGAAGGGAGACCATCCACGGATAAAGATATGAGAAAAGACTGCACAATCAGAGAACAAACCAGCAAAAAAGGAAACCTACTATAGTTGAAAATCTAATTTACCCTCTGTTTCCAAAACCCACTTCATCTTCCCCTAATCAACCAAACTCCTGGATGATATAGATGGACAATACCTGAGGACTTGGTTGATATAGATGGACAATACCTGAGGACTTCAGAGTAGCCCTTGGCAGCAGCCACATGGAGGGCTGTGGCCCCTGAGCGAGTCTGCCTCACATCCTCTATTTTCCCACTGTTGAGCCACTGGCGGGCATCCTGCAACATCTGCTGCTCTTCTTCTTTTCTTGACTGCTCTAGATCAACTCCTACAGAAACCAGACATGACACAGCCAGCATTACTAAAGCTTCAATTAAATCTGACAGGATATTTTCCTTAGGTTAAAAACACATCATAAATATAACCACAAATAACTGTTAAGTCATCAAGTTAAGTATTCATCAAATTTAGAAGAGCAATGACATTCTACACACATTCGTAGCCTTACTACAGTTAAATCACCAGGTTAAATATTAAGTGGCATAGATTCATTAGGAGAACAAACCTAACATCATTTCCATTAGAAAATTTTCACACTATGGTATTTGTACAAAGATACAATTTATTTCACACTATGATATTTGTACAAAGATACAATTTATTTCACACTATGGTATTTGTACAAAGGTATAAACTTCCAAGTCTTTTTACATATTATACAATTTTAGTTTCCCAAAAATTTTGCAAGGTAAATACAATAGATATCACCATCCTCAATTAACAGATGAAGAAATAAACATAGAAAGGTTAAGTGGCTCAAGGCCACAAAACACATTAGTGGAAGAGCTACTACTAGAACTCTGAAATCCTGGATCCCTGTTCTTTTCCACTCACCATTCCATAAGATAGGTATTAAAAAGTCTTGGCTTTTAAAGTATGATATACTTTAAAAAACAGATTACCTTTGAAGTTCATTTCCATATGTAGGCAAATACACTCATCTGAAGCTACAAAATATGGCGCAGATGAGGGGGTGATCTGCAGTTTATTTGTTTTTGAAACAGAGTCTCACTCCACTGCCCAGGTTAGAGTACCGTGACGTTATAACTTCCATCTCTTGGGCTCAAGAGATGCTCTTGCTTCAGTTCCCAAGTAACTGGGACTATAGGTGCCTGCCATAACACCTGGCTAATTTTTCTATTTTTAGTAGAGACAGGGTCTTGCTCTTGCTCAGGCTGGTCTCAAACTCCTGAGAGCAAGCAATCCACCCACCTCAGTCTCCCAGGGAGCTAGGATTACAGGCAGGAGCCACCATGCTGGCCTGTGACCTGCAGTTTAAAAACCTGTCTGCTTTCAAAGGAGTGTCTGCTTTCATTTACATTTTGTTTCCCTTAAGAACATGGAAGAACTTTTAAAAGTTCCTTCTTTTAGCCAACAACTCTCCAACATCTTGCCAGTGAAGAGGGAATGAGGTAGGGGAAATCACCATTATATAAAGTAATTTAAATATCCCAAATACAAACATACCATTCAAAGAGTTTTATACTTGTTAGCAGTCTTTATCTGTGTTTGATGTGCTCACCTTCAGCTCTTAAATGAGAACCTGTGAACTACCTAAAGATTATCTGTCTGATTTGGGGACATGAATGAGGTAAAGACTAACCAATTTATAACTGATCAGAATTCCAAACACAAAGAAGTATTAACAATGCTGCAAAGTTGCCTGGGGTATGGCAGCTCATGCCTGGTGGTTCATGCCTGTAATCCTAGCACTCTGGGAGGCTGAGGCTGGTGGACTGGACTGCTTGAGCTCAGGAGTTCAAGACCAACCTGAGCAAGAATGAGACCCCATCCCTACTAAAAATAGAAAAATTAGCTGGGTTTCGTGGCAGGCACCTGTCATCCCAGCTACTGTGGAAGCTCAGGCAAGATCTCTTGAGTCCTAGAGTTTGTGGTTGCTATGACCTATGATGCCATGGCACTCTACCCAGGGCAAAAGAGTGAGACTCTGTCTCAGAACAAAAAAAAAGAAAGAAAGAAAAAAAACAATTCTGCAATGTTAATTCTAAATATGAATACCTCTTCCAATAGAGTACACTCCTTAACTGAAGAGTCAGCAATCAACAAAGGAAAATTAGTTTCACAAATCAAAACTTTTAAAAATTTCTGCTTGTTTATAAATTTTAAAATAAATCTTAAGAGAGAAGACTGAGCAGGACTGGGGAGTAAACTATACATAAAATCCAATACACCAAGACACAAAACTATCCATGGAAGTTAGTAAAACATGCAATTATTCGTTGGGTTGGCATACTTTATACACTTATAAAGGGACAAATATTAAATATTTTCAGATTTGTGGCTCTTCCAGTCTACCACAACTATACAACTCTGCTGTTGCACCACAAAAGCAGTTTGGATAATATGCAAACAATGCTCATGACAAGATTTGGCCCTGTGTATTCTAAAAGTTCATAAAGGAAAGGCCATTGGAGGTAAATCGTTTGTGATGAACTGCAGATTGTAGGGAAGGTAGTTGAGTAGAGTTTTATGATGGTTCTAGCAGACTTCCTAAGACCTCCCTGCTCTCTGTCTAGTGTTCTTTTTTTTATTTTTTATTTTTTTTGAGACAGAGTCTCACTCTGTGCCCTAGGCTGAAGTGTCATGGTCTCAGTATAACTCACAGCAACCTCAAACTCCTGGGCTGGGACTACAGGCACACACCACCATGCCTGGCTAATTTTTCTGTTTTTAGTAGAGATGGGATCTCACTCTTGCTAAGGCTGGTCTCAAACTCATGAGCTCAAGTAATCCTCTAGCCTTGGCCTTGCAGAATCCTAGAATTACAGGTGTGAGCACCACCATGCCCAGCTGACAACATTTTTTTATTAAAAAGAACCCAGGGAGGCTCAGTGCCCATAGTGGTGAGGGCACCAGCTACATACGCTGGGGCTGGCAGGTTTGAAACTGGCCTGGGCCTGTTAAACAACAATGACAACCACAACAACAACAAAAATAGCTGGGCATTGTGGCAGGCGTCTGTAGTACCAGCTACTTGGGAGGCTGAGGCAAGAGAATCATATAAGCCCAAGAGTTTGAGGTTGCTGAGAGCTGTGATGCCACGGAACTCTACCGAGGGCAACATAGTGAGACTCTGTCTCAAAAAAAGAAAAAACAAAAACAAGGATTCCCAGTATGACAACCCCATTCTATTCTGTGAAATGGGTTCTTCTAAAACTATAAAGTAAGAACAAGCATTTTTAGAGTATATTCTTCTAAGTTAGATTCCTCACCTTAACAAACCACCAGAATAATTTTCATGGTTCAGATTATTAAAGATAGTTTCAGAGGTTACAATAAATATCTTTACTAGCATCACATTTAGCTCTCATCAAAGGAAAAGATGCAAACTCACAAACTGAATTTGGCCAATAGTCGAAGTTACACTGTATTTCCTCTTTTCTTTGTATTCTACAATGTATAGCAAAATCAATATCATACATATACATGGTATGACGCACTCATTTTCCTTATCAGGTCACTCCTAACTATATGCTGGTTACACAATGTCAGAGTGGCAAAAACAAGAAATGATTGGTCATCCTTTTAGCATGTGGCCTATGCTTGTGTGAGTTATTAAGGACAGGCATGATGTTGGTAATTGATGATTAATGTTGTGGGAACAGATCTAATCCTCTCCTATTGTATGATAATGAAAGGCTCCACACAGCAAATCGATTATTTTCTGTAAGTGGTAGTATTTAAGAATCTCTCCTGGCCCCTGCCAATCTGCCAGGTTACCTTGCTTCTTCACTTGCTCCAGAAGAAGATCCTTCATGGCTGGTTCTTCTGCAAGATCAGAAGGGACTTCACCTTCACTATTGACAATACCCACACTGGCTCCGTGGTTAATGAAATACCTATGCAAACAAGATTTAGGATCGATATTATCTCCATCAATCTAATATCAATCTGTCTTCATGCATCTGGGGTTCAATGCACAGCAAAGCTTCTATTTGGGGGTTTTAAATATGGTCCCAGACAAAGTATCCTATTTTAATTTCTAACTCCATTACCCTTCAATACTTAGCACTGGAGGCTTCCCCATTTCCTGACTAGAACAATGCCAACAAATAGCATCTTTTTCATACTCACATAATATTAACCTCCACCCTCTGAATCCCAGTAGATAATATAAGGAAGGCATGTTGCCTCAAAACTTATCCACTATCTCTGAGATCCAAACACAGGTTTCAAAAAGGACTTACTGCACTTGTACTATTAGAAATGAAGAGAGTTCCCAGAAGATATGTAAAGAAGTAATTCGCACAGAAACTTTCCCACTGTCACAATGGAGTTTATAAAATAGTACTGTGGGTATGAAAATAGAAGAATAAAGCATGCCCTAAAATTTGAATGAATCTGCCTAAATTATGCCTCTGCAAAACTCTATCAACCATATATCTACATAAAATATTCCCCTAAGAAGGAATTAATATAATACTTGATCCTGAAAAAGAAAGGTCTGTGAACTTCCATACCTTACATGGTTCCTTTTCAATTTTCAAAGTGCTTTCACATAAAATTATGTCAACAGTCTTAGGCAAAATTCTGAAGTAGGTAATGTGGGTATTATCATCACCATTTTAAGAAGTTGAGGTTCATACATGTTAAATAACCTTCTCAAAATCACATAGCTGGAAAATGACAGAGGTTATGACCACAACTTTGACTTCAAGTTTTCATTTCTCTAGAGAGAGCATTTTGGGGGCAGTGATAAACTCAACGGGTTCTCACTTCTATCAAATACTCAGAAGAATTTAAAAGAAAAAAAAATTTTAATTAGACTCAATCCATTGAGTCTCCATAAATTGGTCACTTACTATGTTCAAGGAACTACATTTTAGTCAAAGTAGGAAATTAAAAAAAGATAATCAATAACTGGCCATTGCATTCAAAGAGTTGACAGAGGAGAAAGAATATGATTAAGACCACGTTTCTGCTTTCTCAGTGCCCAGTACCCAGTATAACAGAGACTCAGTAAATGTTTATAAATTTATAGGTTGATTCCACATACATAAAACTTAAAGGAATTCACAGTTCATCTAATTTTCAACCATCTCTTTCCTTCCTTAATAGTCTCAGAGGAAGATAGACCTTATTCAATCCCATGGCTAACTTCCCCCATCTGTACTCTTAATTCTATCAAGTAACCAGTATTCTGTCCATCATTTACACATATTCATTAGCTCCTCTCTTCTGATTCCTCTCCCTCAGACCTAAGGAACATTATACTACACCTTCTCTACCATGAAAAACCAAAATACAAATAACATATATAATAAGTACTCAATAAATGTTTATTGAATTGAAATGTACCTCATGCTTTATAATCAAACTGAATTACTTATTGTTCTCAAACACATCCCACTCTCATCCAGCCCTCTTTTATAGCTCAAGTAGTTTCCTTTAAATAAATGGAACACTTTTCCTTCTTGTTTCCCTTGTAGAAACCTTTCTTATCTTTCAAGGTCCATTTAAAATTCTTTTGCCTTCATGAAGACTTTGTCTGTTCTCACCAACTGACTTCTCTCTTTCCTTCCTTTAACCCTGTCCTTCCTCATCTCCTGCCCCTCAAACACTAACTCTGTACCCCTGTCCTGCCTTATACTCTACCTTGATGCAACCACTCCATTAGATTGAAAGCAACAATTGAAGGCAATAATTATGAGTTCCTCATTATTATGATTGTCACAGCATCTGACACCTCTACTCTAGGCACTCTATAAATATTGTTTGAATTACCTGAAACATCTTAATCACTCTATTCTGACATCTATTCCATCATTTATTAGATCAGGCACAACTGGTATACAGGTATACAGCCTCTGTTTCCCTCCTCTGATATGCTTTTAGGCCCATAATCAAGAAGATGCATTTCTAGGAAGAAATTTGACTATTTTTCTACTTTTTTGATAAAAAGTAAAAAGTGTCTTTAGCTTTACTTTTACTTAAAGAAAAATTAAATATCAGCCTATGAAGTCATATCTACTTTATCCCTGAGAATCCTTATAGTTGCTGAGAGACTCAGAAATAGCTACCAACTGAATAAATATGCCCTTGGAAAATAAAGCCTACTTATCCTTCCTAACTCATCACTGATATAAGGCCTTTTTGCTACTGTTCTAAGGTAGGAAGAAAGTACATGAAATGTATTCAAAAACTCAGAAAAAATTAGCATCTCAATAAACTACTACATAAAGCCAAACTAAATGCTCTCTCTACCTTGGGTCAATTTGCTCCTTCTAAGTTAAACACTTAATTCATAATAAAAAATGTAAAAACACCAGCTAACCAGTGTTAAGCCCGAACTCATTTTAAAATGAGGAAAAAGGCTCAGCACCCGTAGCACAGTGGTTACACTGCCAATCACATACACTGAGACTGGCGGGTTTGAATCAGGCCTGGGCCAGCTAAACAACAATAACAACTACAACACAAAATAGTAGGGCATTGTGACAGGTGCCTGTAGTCCCAGCTACTTGAGAGGCTGAGGCAAGAGACTTGCTTGAGCCCAGGAGTCTGAGGTTGCTATGAGCTGTGATGCCATGGCACTCTACCAAGGGTGACATAGTGAAATTCTGTCTCAAAAAAAAAAAATAGAATGAGGAAAAAATAGCCTCTAAATGTCCCCTTTTTTGATGTACCATACTGAGTTCAAATATAAGACAAAAAAAAGATTATCATGGAACATGAAATAGAATGTACTTGGATTCTTCCTGGAAAGCCAGTTCGCCTTTATTCATTTCTACTCCCTTAAAAGTTAAGAGTTCATGATGATTCTTCGAATACGGGTATAAAATATAAGATCTTTAAGAAATAAAAAGAAGGCTCGGTGACCATAGTTCAGTGGTTAGGGCGCCAGCCACATACATCACCAGGTTCAAACCTGGCCCAGGTCTGCTAAACAACAATGACAACAACAAAAATATAGCTGGGTGTTGTGGCAGGCGCCTGTAGTCCCAGCTACATGGGAGGCTGAGGCAAGAGAATCACTTGAGCCCAGGAGTTTGAGGTGGCTATGAGCTGTTGATGCCATAGCACTCTACTGAGGGCGACATAGTGAGACTAAAAAAAAAAGAAAACAAAGAAATAAAAGAAAAATAAGGAGATGGTTGAGGGTTGATCTCATTAAAACATTCTTCATTGGCCCAGAGGTAAAGCAACCAAATGATAACACAAACATCGGGGCTCTTTACCACTGTAGAAAAACAATGCTACATACTGCAAATAAATAAATAATGACAATGCAGTCAAAAGCTGTCCAATAATGATATGCCTAATGAAAGATAAATTAAAGGAGGCCATCCCCACCACCCACCACCCTCTGTAATGGATTCTGGTCTAGATCATCTCCTTCATGGTCAGACTTTCATATGTCAAATTTGGAATAATTTGTATGGGGGAATAGTAATTCTCACAGATTAATTTCATTTAAGGTAATATTTATTTGAGCCACAGGCCATTAAATTTTGAACTTAGTTCCAAAAAAACTATGTTCATCAATAAAGATGAATTAAAGAAATCATGTTAAAGGCACTTATAGTCATTCTCTATATTTAGTTTCATAAAAAGAGGATAATGCCAACACAAGTGATCCTAATTCTACGCAGAAACTCTCCTTAGAAAAGTGAAACAAAACCTTAGGGAAAAAAGGGAATCCTTGAATGTATCACATATGAAGCTCAACCATCACAAACATACCATCTGAATAAATAATAAAAAATCAGGCAGTGCAGTAGCTCATGCTGATAATTCTAACACTCTTAGAAGTCAAGGCAGGAGGACAGCTTGAGGTCAGGAGTTACAAACCAGCCTAAGCAAGAATGAGACCTCAGAGCTACTAAAAACAGAAAAACTGGCAGCGCCCACAGCTCAGTGGGTAGGGCGCTAGCCACATACACCAAAGCTGGTGGGTTTGAACCTGGTCCCAGCCAGCTAAAACAACAATAACAACTGCAACAACAGCAACAACAACAACAAAAATAGCCAGGCATTGTAGTAGGCACCTGTAGTCCCTGCTACTTGGGAGGCTGAGGCAAGAAAATTGCTTAAGCCCAAGAGTTAGAGGTTGCTGTAAGCTGTGACACCATGGCACTTGACCCAGGGCGAGAGCTCGAGACTCTGTCTCAAGTAAATAAATAAATAACAGAAAAAAATTAGCTGGGTCTGGCACCCATAGCTCCTGCTACTCAAGAGGCTAAGGCTAAAGGATCACCTGAATTCAGGACTTTGAGACTGCAGTGAACTATGATGATGCTACTGCACTCTAGCCTGGGCAACAGAGTAAGACCCTGTCTCAAAAAAGAAAAAATAAAAAAAACCAAAGAGGGGCCAACATGTTCTATAAATGTTTCTTAAATAAATGTTCTAATCATTTGAAAGTTAATCATGTTAACTCTGAGGCATCAGAATGTTGGCACTACTAGATAAGAATGAGAATCAGAGTCCTTCCTATGAGACTCGGAAAAGGGACAATCTATAGGACAAATAGCTGACTGACTTTTAGTAAATTAGAATAGAGTGAAGAACCAAGAATAAAGAAATCTGCACTGTTTATTTCTGTTGGCTTTGGTGCCAATCCAGTCATCCATGTTTTAGAACAAGCAGCTAGGCTGGGTGTGGTGGCTCACATCTGTAATCCTAGCATTCAGGGAGGCCAAGGCAGGTGCATTGCCTAAGCTCAGGAGTTTGAGACCAGCCTGAGCAAGAGCACTGTAGTGGGTGCCTATAGTCCCAGCTACTTGGGAGGCTGAGGTAAGAGGATCACTTGAGCCCAGGAGTTGCTGGGAGCTATGATGCCAGGGCACTCTACCAAGGGTGAAAAGTAAGATTTTGTCTCAACAACAACAACAAAAAAAACAAGCAGCCAAGTCAAACATCAGTGCTTCTGCTAATGCTTCCCTGACTCTGATTCTCCCTTTCTTTACCTCTTCCACTGAACATGCTTAGCATAACAGTAAATGCAGCAACTCAGGCAACCTGGGCAAATCAAATTCTATAGGAAGTCATTTTGGGGTTTCTATGGAGTTGCCAACATAATTCACTCTGCTGTTTGTTGAATAAGAGAAATGTAATGGAGCTCTAATTATTATTGAAAGGGGCCTTAAAATAACTGATTTGATTCACAGAACCACAGAATACCATGATTTATGTAGAAAATTTACCTTATCAATATAAATTTGCCCTTATCTAGAATACACTCGATTTTGCCTTGTTTTAAAGATGTTTCAGCTGCCTGAGTAGTTTTCCTATTTAAAAATAACCTTAAACAATCCAAATGCCCATCAATACATGAGTGGATTAATAATATATGCTATATGTATACCATGGAGTACTACTCAGCCATAAAAAATGGTGATCTTTTGTAACAATCTGGATTGACTTGGATACCATTCTTCTAAGTGAAGTATCTCAAGAATGGAAAAACAAATGCCACCTGCACCTAATACTAAATTGGAACTAACTGGTCAACACTTACATGCACGTATGGAAGTAAAACTCAAGAGGAATCAAGTAGGTGGTGGGGTAGGGTCGGGTTAATTCACACCTAATGGGTATAATGCACACATTCTGGATGAAGGACACACTTAACAACTTTGACCTAAAATGTACAAAATAGGCTCGGCACCTGTGGCTCATGCAGCTAAGGTGCCAGCCACATACACCTGAGCTGGCGGGTTTGAATCCAGTCCAGGCCTGCCAAACAACAATGATGGCTGCAACCAAAAAATAGCTGGGTGTTGTGGCAGGTGCCTATAGTCCCAACTACTTGGGAGGCAGAGGCAGGAGAATCGCGTAAGCCTAGGAGTTGGAGGTTGCTGTGAACTGTGATGCCACAGCACTCTAGCCAGGGTGAAAGCTTGAGGCTCTGTCTCAAAAAAAAAAAAAGTAATTTCTAATTTGTAGAGAGGATTAAATGAGTAATATAATTTGTATATATGTAAATTCTGTTGGGTCATTCACCAGTTCAATGGCTCTCTCCTTTGTACTTGGAATAACATCTACACTCCTACTCATAGCCTTTGCCTGGGGGACTTCATCCTGCCACTTCCCTCCCTCTTCCTCCACTTTAAATATATGTGATCTCTCCTTGTTCATTACACACCAAGTTTACTCATCGCTCAAAAATATTGTCATGTGTAAAATGTACAAAATAAACTACGTAACCAAAACATGTATACTCTATAATATTCTCAACTGTAAAACAATTTTTTAAAATAACCTCCCTCATTATTCTTTCATACAACAGATATTTATTTTAGTGCCTCTTATATCCCAGGTACTATGTGGTCAGGATTCTTCTTCCCAAGGGAGTAGCAACTAGTTGCCATAGGGGTTAGTAGCTATTAATGTATCTTATTAAGCACAGCCATTCAATTAACCTGAAGAACACGTGCCCTTCTCTACCTGTCCTTTGTTCCACATATTTAGGCTCATTCTTCTGCTATTAACTATGTAAGTGCTATGATCAGTATGCCAGGAGTTTTCTTCCTTCATTTGTCCTAGGCACTGATTTTTTAAAAAACAACAGAATGGTTTTACAAAGAATTTTAGAAAAAAAATCTTCAGGCCTGCCTATATGTTTAATATGTGCCAAGATACCATTGTTCAGAAATTGAACTTAGTGGCTCAGCGCCTGTAGCTCAGGGGCTAGCGCACCAGCCACATACATCGGAGCTGGCAGTTTCAAACCCAGCCCAGGCCTGCCAAACAACAATGACAACAACAACAACAGCAAAAAATAGCCGGGCATTGTGGCGGGTGCCTGTAGTCCCAGCTACTTGGGAGGCTGAGGCAAGAGAATAGTTTAAGCCCAAAAGTTTGAGATTGCTGTGAGTTGTGATGCCACAGCACTCTATGAAGGTGACATAGTGAGACTCTCTCTCAAAAAAAAAAAAAAAAAGAAAGAAAGAAAGAAGGAAATTGAACTTAGTGCAAAGAGACAGATATACTTAAAAATGTAAATTACCTGAAAATAGAAGCAAATAAAAAGTTTTAACTAAAAATTATGAATTTAGCACCTAATATAACACATGGTATCAATAATGCTATAAAAAAACAACTCAACTTCTTGCTTTTGTAATCTGTAATAAAGATTATAACTACTTATGAAATTATAATTCTTTTTTTTCCTTCATAAGTTCACAAAAACTCATTTTTTTTAATTGTTGCAGAGTCATTATGAAATTCTAATTCTTAAGAGCAGAGGAAAAACGAAGGCTATTCTTGCAAATATTGCAAACCCACAGAGACTCACTCACTCTGCTATGTTGAGATAGCCACAGGAAGCTGCTGCATGAAGGGGTGTCCAGCCCTCATTGTCTTGCTGATTTACGTTGGCTCTGTTCTCTACCAAAAATTTTACCATGTCCAAATTTTCATCAATACAGGCCTGAAAAGAAAAGTCCATTCATTAATTAAACAAGTATTCATTGCATAGACAATACTCAGCAGTTCTAATGATACATTATAGTAGAACCTCTGTAAATTGACCGCACAGAGGACTGTAGCAAACTGGTCAACATATGGAGGTGGTCAACATAAGAAACTAGGTCTACTGTACTGATACATACATGTGGTACATGTCTGGTCTATGAAAATTAGGTCAACTTAAGGAAGTGGTCAATGTGGAGAGGTGGTCAACTATGGAGATTGTACTGTAATTTCTATTTCTTTCATTCTATGTTTCCACAGCAAGACTTTTAAGCTTTGCAATCTTGGCAAGCTCCTTAATGTCTCCATGTCTCATTCCCTCAGCTGTGAAACAGGTATAATGATACATAATCTTATTTACAGCACTATTAGGATTAATTGTACAAGTGATTTTTATAAGTGCATTTCAATACAGCAGGGGCCCTGCTCCTACAATGTGGAAGTGTCATACAGCAAATATACAAAAAGGCTAATTACCTCTTCCTGTTATCTTGACGTTTCCCCCAACTTCCTGATATTTACTAATTTATAAAACTTTTTCTCAGCAAAGTTTTGTTTTGTGTGTCCATTGGATTATAAACTTTATTTAAAAATACAAAAAAAAGTGATTTCTAAAGTGCAACAAATAGGTGGGCTGTTTCATCGTTTCATCATTACATCATGAAAAGAAAGAAAACACTGATTTTTTTAATGAACATAAAGGATAGAATGATCATTTCAAACAGAAGAAATGTATTTTCTCTTCATCCATTTTCTGAATAGCTTCAAATAATATGACAAAGTATGTTTGTAGTTAGGAATAGTTAGGGATCCTCATCTACCCACATCATGGCTGCAGTTAGGAAAAAGCAGAGCTTTTTTGAATAAAGGCTTTAGGGTTATCATAAGCCTAAAGGAAACAGTCACAAACAGCAATGAGATCTGCAAAAACCAAAAAGGCTGACTTGACATAGCTATAGAATAGAAAAGACGCAGAAGGCCCACAATGACAAAGGTAATCAACATCAAGGCTTAGATAGTTACAAAACAGGAGATTAATTCAGGATCTAGAAATAAGTAAGACCCCCTTCTTAAAACTTACCTTTTCATACCCTCCTTTAAAAAAAAAAAGTTAAAACTTTAGCTGAGGAAGAATTACCCACATTAAATGACTTTCACATTAAGACATTATTTGCTTTTTCATAGTGTTGACATTAATGATGCAAAAGCAAGGGTGGGTAAAAGGCTGATCCTTAGCATGAATCAAGACAATGTCATCAAAAGACAATAGTAGGCACTGTATTCTTCCTCACTACACATTCATAGCTGAAAAATCAAATAAATAAAAGCCCAGTATCACTTAAGAATGGCCTTGATAATGGGTGGTGCCTGTGGCTCAGTGGGTAGGGTACCGACTCCATATACCGAGGGTGGCGGGTTCAAGCCTGGCCCCAGTCAAACTGCAACAAAAAAATAGCCGGGCATTGTGGCGGGCACCTCAGCTACTCAGGAGGCTGAGGCAAGAGAATTGCCTAAGCTCAGGAGTTGGAAGTTGCTGTGAGCTGTGATGCCACAGGATACTACCAAAGGCAATAAAGTAAGACTCTGTCTCTACAAAACAAACAAACAAAAAAAGAATGGCCTTGATGAAGTAGTAAAAATTATTGCTTTTATTAAATCTCAATCCTTGAGCATGTAAATCTTTGTTATATTCTACAATTTCACAAAATCGAAAGTATACTTAAATTGCTGCATACACAAGTATGATATTTGATTTTAGGAAAAACCACTTGTGCATCTGGGTTATGCAATGAAATTAAGCTGCTCTGTTCATAGAATACTCTTTTTACTCAAAAGAATAACAAACAAGCAAGTTACAGTTTTTCAGACTTGAAAATGAACAAAGTGAGCCTGTCATTTCAAAGAAAATAACTGGTATTTGCTGCAATGATAAAATTTGACCACTGGAATAAAAATGAGAATTTTGGGAAATATAGCCACCACCATGAGCTTGGTACCTTTCCAATACTCTTCTGATGAAATCAGTGGGACTATCAAACAAATGTGAATTATTTATATTACATAACATATAAATAATATGGAGGATCTGTACAAATGCAATGGATATTGGTACATTTTCCAAATTACTAAATGCAAGTGTTAGAAAGTCATGTATGGGTAAAAGATTCATTCAAAGTACAAGTTAGACCAATGGGTTTTAATGTGACAGAATAAGAAAAGTCCACTGATATGATTTCATTTTCCACACTGCAACTAACATTTTAAAAACTATCAGTTCTTAAACTAACATTTCAGAAATTATTATTTTTTGTAGTATAGTATCCAAAAAAACAAAACCCACAATTGTCTAAACAGGCTATTAAAATATTCCCTTTTTCAAAAATATATCTATGTGGGGCTAGACTTTATATACTTAAATCAAAATAATATAACAGATTGAACACAAACACTAAAAGAAAATTGTAAAAATATAAAACAATACCCCTGTATTCTCACTGGGCTTTTTTGTTTTTGAAAGTATATAGGTATTTGTAATTAAAATATATGATTTAGGTCGGGCACTGTGGCTCATGCTTGTAATCCCAGCACTCTAGGAAGTGGAGGCAGCTGGATTGCTTGAGCTCAGGAGTTCGAGACCAGCGTCAGCAAGAGCGAAAATAGCTGGATGTTGTGGCAGGCAACTATAGTCCCAGCTAGTAGAGAGACTGAGGCAAGAGAATCACTTGAGCCTAAGACTTTGAGGTTGTTGTGGGCTATGCCATGGTATGCCACTGTCTTCAAACCACCAAGAGATATTATATGGTTTTAATGAGCAACTGTTTAAATAATAAAAGATTACTGTGGGCAGAATCAAAGTTAGAACTCCAAAGCACCTTCATAATTACAGAACTTAAGTGGTACATCTGATACCAAGAGAACTTAAAAGAACTTACTCCAGATATAAACCCCGTGTCAATCCTGCCTAAAGCAGGGGGATAGATGAAAAAAAGGCTGACTCCATTTAGAAGAAAATTTAATTAAGTAACTCTGGCTACAAAAAGCATTTTTGTTAATTTTTCTTAAACCCTTTGATAATCCTTTTACAATTACTAAGATTAGCTAAACATATCAACCTAGATTTGATTTGATACAATATAATATATTCCTCCAATCTGACCTGTTGAGGCCAATCTGGCTTTTATAGCCAGTATTCAAAATGGTCTCCTTTTCAACAGCAGCTCCAGAAATTATATTTCCTCTATGACATTTTCTTAGGTTTATCAATTTCCATAAGCATTCCCCATTTACAGTTTACTTCTGTACCCTGTAAAATATTTTTAAATTCTTCATAATATTTTAAAATTCATAATTATGCTTATCCCTAAATTGGTCATAGATTATATGTCTGCCAGTCTGCAATTCCGTATGTCTAGCCAACCCATTGCAGAATATCACACTCCAAACCGTATGTAAAGATTTTTAACTTAAAGAAATGGAAGAGGACACTTTTCAAAAAGGTACTGAAATTCAGGGAGAAGAAAGTGTTTTAAAGCTTGTGCTAAATACTCTCTTTGCCCTTAACAACTCCTATGTCAAGACAGTCAAATGTGCCGCCTTAATAACCTGTGTGAGCAAGGACAGTTTGATCAACTTCTTCTTGCTTGGTTGCAAAATTTCTTTGGCTCTGAAAGAACAGTCTAAAAACTTAGCTCCAATGTCCACATTACTACCAAGCAGACTTCTGGTAGCCAATGTTTTCAAGATCATTCTTTGCCCTTTGAAGATGACAGCAGCCAAATTCCACAGGGCCTAAAATAAGCCCAGCTAGTCCAGGTATCTCTTTCCTTCTCTCTTACATCTTACATCTCCCTCCTTCTCCCTCATTTCTTTACTCTCCTTTACCCTATCACTACTTTAGTTCTTTTCCTTTTAAATTTTATGATATTGTGTCTATAAACCTCAAATCCTTGATACCAAAACATATATATATATGTTTTTTTGAGATGAGGCCTTGCTATGATTTCCTACCTGGTCCCAAACTTCTGGGCTCAAGAAATCTTCCCTCCTCAGCCTCCCAAGTAGCTGGGATTATAGGCACAAGACACCCAATTTGATACAAAAAAGATTTTTTTTTTTTTTTAAGACAAAGCCTAAAGCTGTTGCCTTGGGTAGAGTGCCATGGCATCACAGCTCACAGCAACCTCCAACTCCTGGGCTCAAGCGATTCTCCTGCTTCAGCCTCCCAAGTAGTTGGGACTATAGGCACCTGCCACAACGCCCGGTTATTTTTTGGTTGCAGCCATCATTGTTGTTCAGCAGGCCTGGGCTGGATTGGAACCCGCCAGCTCAGGTGTATGTGGCTGGCACCTTAGCTGTTTGAGCCACAGGTGCCAAGCCTTGATACAAAATTTTTATGGGAATGATATGATAAGGAAATTTTAGAGAACAAAAGAAAAACCTGGCCTAATATAATCAGATCATCAGTCTCTGGAAGAATAAACTTAGAGAAAATAAAGTAGGCCAAATCATTTCCTATACCCTCCTCAAAGAAAAGAATGGTATATTGGGGGTTTTTTTGTTATTTTTGTTTGTTTTGAGACATAGTCTCACTTTGTCACCCATGGTAGAGTACCCTGGCGTCATAGCTCAGAGCAACTTCAAACTCTTGGGCTCAAGCGATTCTCTTGCCTCAGCCTCAGCCTCCTGAGTAACTGAGACTACAGGCGCCCGCCACAAGGTCCAGCTGTTTATTTATTCATATTTTTTTAGAGATGGGGGTCTTGCTCTTGCTCAGGCTGGTCTCAAACCTATGAGCTCAAGCAATCCACTAACCTCAGCCTCCCAGAGTGCTAGGATTACAGGCATGAGCCACCATACCAAGAATGAGTTTGCATACCAGCCAATGCATATAACCTTTAGTGGGGTATCTAACCTAAGTACCAGTGCATGTACGTACTCATGTATTGCATTGAGAATACC